CTATTTTCATAACACCAAGAGCTTTCTGTCTGGCACACAGCAGAGGCCCAGATACCAGAAGGGCTCTATTTTAATAAACTATGAGGACTACTACCTTATGGCTGATTTAAATGTCTCACTAAAGCATGAAATGTGAATTTTTATTGTTGTAAATATGATTTAAGGTATTTAAAGTATTTTCTTCTCTATGAGAAGGTTTATTGTTGATACACGGTATAATAAAGTTATGATAACCCCTCTCCTCCCAGTGTAACCTGCTAAAGTTTGAAGATGTTAGATTTTTCTTTCTCCATAAAGAAGTTCAGGCCAAAGTGTCAAAAATAGATACAAAATTTTTGAAGAAAGAGTTTAGTATTGACAAAGATATAAAGAAAACACATCCTTTAAGATGTGAAAATTATTAGTCCAAAATATTATTATTTCCAAACTATGTATAAGAGTGGAAATTATTTTAGTGACATTACACTTATTTATCCAGAAAGCTGTGAATTCAAGAGAACCTGACACGCTGGGAAATTCAACTTTTGTTTCCACTAACTGATACTTTTTAAAATATAAAATTTTAAGTGTTTACCCATAATTGAAATGTATGATATAAAAACTCTAAGCAGTTTGTTTTCCCCCTAAAAGTGTGCATAGTTTTGCTTGCCTAAGAAATGACCTAGAATATCCTTTAAAATATAAGACAAGTTGCACCCTAAAGATTTTATTTTGAGATGTAGTTAAATTCATCTTTTACATGTGTCAAAAGAATGTCATATGGTTGTATTGGGCACATAAAGGTCACCTTCTAATAGTTTGGTGTAGTACCCAGTGATGCTGTACATGTATTTGAAGGACCGTCCTAAAGAAATATTAAGCATGTTTTGTTGCTTAAAGTGTTTTTGTGAATTGCTTGGTTGTGATTAAATTCTGAGCCTAATATTGATATGGTTTTAAGAAGTAGTTGTACCAACTGAAATTATTTGGGGGATTATAATAAATAAATGCATTCCAGCTGAGTTCCATATCCTCAATTTTGGAAATTGTATGGTCTTCATTTCAGGACTTCTACATCCTTTTAAACAGAATTTTTTTAAATGTTAAATTATCCTGAAGAAGTTGCAAGAATAGTACAAAGCCTCAAATCCACTTAGTAGAGAATAGATTTAGAAAACATGATCCAAGGGATAAGTGTACACAAGTTCAACAGTTTACATGGGTGGCGAGTGAGATAGTGTTATGCTCTAAAAGCTGCATGTAAAGTACTCAAATGGTTATTACAAAAAATGAGCACAAACTTTTGTTCCTATTTGCGATTTCTCTAGATCAGTGCTTCTCCAATTTCAGTCTGCATGAGTCATCTGGAGAGCATAGGAAACAAACACATGGTTTCTGATTCAGTAGGTCTGAGGTATCAACATTTCTAAAAAGCTCCTGGGTGATGTCAATGCTGCCGGTGTTAGGGTACACTTCAAATGGGAATGATCCCTCGGAATGAGGTCATGATTTTCTCTTGGCAAGTTTTTAAAGATATTTTTTAATGATGTCAGAAAAATAGGCCTGTCATCTTCACAGATCTACCAGCACAGTGATTCTCTCTGAGGTAGGGATGATTCAAAAAAGGAGTAAGCAGCTTCAACTTCTAAAAATGTCCTATTTTACTTGTGGAAAAGGATTTTGTTTTGTCTCAAAACAAAATCCTTTTGAATGGCATCAGAGACAACACCTAGATTTATATACAAGTGAATACATACATATCCATCACCCATGATCATGGAGAAAAACCAAAGCCCCGCTCATATGAGTTAGAACTATTAATACTCAAGACACAATTTCATTCATCTTCACTTCGGGTTAACCATCTGGGGCAATGATTTGGTTTAATCTTTTTAACTAAAATATTCATACACTATAAGAGTTATAAAAGTATACACCTTTAAAATATTTTAGTAATGTTCACAAAATTAGGCAGCTATCACTGCTAATTGCAGAACATCTTCATAATCTCAAAAAAGAAATCACATGCCCACTTACAGCCAGTTCCTCTTTTCCTCTCCCCAAGGCCCTAGCAAACACTCTATCTCTATGAATTTGTCTATTCTGCATATTTTTAAAAATGTTTTAGATGTAGATGGACACAATAATCTTTATTTTTATGTGGTGCTGAGGATTGAACACAGTGCCTTACGCATGTGAGGCAAGTGCGCTACCACTGAGCTACAACCCCAGTTCATATCCTTCATATTTTATATTTTTGTGTCTAGCTTTTTTCTGTTAGAAAGATTCCAAGATTCGCTAAAATTGCAGCATGAATCAGTACTTCAGTTCTTTTTTGTGGCTGAATTGTATCCCATGGAATGGATATATATTTTGTTTATCTATTGGGCACTGGGTTGTTTTCACTTTTGGGGTATTGTGAATAATGCTGCTAGGAATGTTTTTGTATATGAGATTTTGTATGAAAATATTTTCAATTGTTGGCATATACCTGGGAGCGAAATTGCTGGGATATGGTAACTATAAATTCAACACTTTGAGGCAACATCAAATTGTTTTCTCATGTAACTGTACCATTTTACATCCCCACCAGCAATGTCCAAGGGTTTCAATTTTTCCATGTTCTTCTCAACATCTGTTATTGTATTTTTTTATTACAGTCATTCTATGGGTATGAGGTAGTATTTCATTGTGGTTAGATTTACATTTTCCTGATGACTAATGATATAGAGAATGTGTTCACATCCTTATTGGCTATTTGTATATCTTCTTTGGAGAAATGTCTATTCAAGTGCTTGGTCCACTTTTTAATTGACTATATGAGCCAATTGTTGCATTAACATTTGCTTTAATTAGCTAAGGCTGCCACAATGAAATACCACTGGCTGAATGGCTTAAACAATTAGAATTTCTGTTCTTACAGTCCTAAAGATTAGAGTCTAAGATAAAGATGAGGGCAGGTTGGTTTGTCTTGAGGCCTCTCCCCTTGGCCTGCAGATGGTCACCTTCTCACTGTGTCCTCATATGGCCTTTGCTCCGTGTGCACATCACTGGTATCTGTGTCTCCCTTTTTGTCTGTCTCTGTCTCTCTCTGATATGATACCAAATGAACTGGATACCACCTCATGCTTACAATCTCGTTTAACCTTAGTTTCTTCCTTAAGGGCCTTAGCTCCAAATACAGTCATATTGAGGGTTACAGTTTCAAAAATGAATTTGAGGACACATAATCCAATCCATTTTACTGCTGAATAAAAGCAAAGCCAAGGGAAAAGTCTTGTTCAGTTGTCTATTTCATAATTATTTGTAAGACTTAACTTCTATGTAATGCAAAGCTTATTTTGTGGTTTTTCATGATGATGATGATGACTTTGTTGTTTTTTGTTGTGGGACACTTATTCAGACTGTTTAGAGAGCCTCAGATTTTCTGTACAGGAAAGTTCTGATCGTCTAGTAGCTGGTATTGAATCTAACTGGGTCACAATAGGTTATGATGGACAGGAAGGTAATTTTAACACCATCTCATAATCTGAGACCATCTCCACTGGGTCAAGTATGTTAGAAAAGGTAATGAGATTGCTAGTGGTGCTTTGACCAGCAGAATCAAGAGTCTTTTCCAAAATAACTACTAGCCCTCTCTACAAACTTTCTGTTGGAGCTACAAACACAAAGGTCATGGAAAAATGTAAACACAGTAATATTTACTGTTATCTGTGTCTTTTGGCCTCAAATGTTAATGCAGAAAAATCCATATTACATAAAATACTCATTTTTCCAAACCTCCTTGTACTAGTGTCGTCAGAAAAAAAATAAGCCATGATATTTACTCTTTCACCACTCCCTTTACCTCATCCCTTTCTCCAACAAAACCCAAACCTGAGTCTAAGACCCTGTGATCATTATCTTATGACTGCTCTCCAGGTGTGTAAGAAATGGAACCAGATTTTTAAAAAGAGATGGCAAGGGAGAGCATTTGATCATATGGCTTAGCATGGATTGCCCTGGGCATAGCTAAAGCTTTAGTTCTAGGCTAGAAGCACCTTAGAAGAAAGGAAGAGAGAGAGAGAGAGAGAGAGAGAGGTGTCTCTGGTCCATATATCAACAATTCTACCATTCATTCATTCCCTTTCCTGGCCATACACTCTAATAACCACCATGAAAGAGAAGAACAGAACACCAAACAATCTATGTCCTAAGGGGAAAAAAATTTTTTTTGAGCCAGGGTCTTGCTATGTTGCCCAAGCTGGTGGTCCCAAACTCATGGTCTCAAGCAATCCTCCCATTTCAGCCTCCCAAGTAGCTGGGACTATAGATGTGTGTGCCACTGCATCTGTCTGTCCTAAGAACTTTTAGTAACAGCAATTCCACTCACTAGATCTGAACAGTGATGTAAGTTTTTTTTTCTTTCTTGAGAAAGGGTGAAACAGGACTCAATATAAAGGAGAAGCAAAGAGAATTCTAAGAATGATTTGGGGGTAACCATAGATTTCTTAGTACACAAGAAGCACAACCATTAAAAAAAAAAAAACCTATAAATTGGACTTCATCAAAATTTTAAATGTCTGCTCTTTAAAAGGTATTATAAAGAAAACAAAGGGAAAAATTATTTGCAATATATAAATCCCAAAAATAACTTTTATCTGATATAAAAAATTCTTATAACTCAATAACCAAAATTAAAAAGACAAAATATTTGAACAAAAGAAGACACAAAAATGTTAAATAAGCCTATGAAAATATGCCTTGCATAATCAGAGAAATGCACATTAAAATCTCAATGAACTATTACTACATATTCATTCAAGTTGCTAAAATTAAAAAGACTGACAATACCAAACATTAACATAGATGTGAAGCAATTGAAACTTCTTTAATAAACTGCTGGTAGAAGGCAAAATACTTTGGAAAACAGTTCGGCAGTTCCCTCTAAACTGTCACATATACTTATCCTAAGACTTAGCAATTCCATTTTCTAAGCGTTTACCTAAAACAAATAAAAATGTATATCCATTACACAGAACTGTGATCTATGTGCACAGCAGCTTTATTCATAAGAGAGAAAAACTTGAAACAACCTAGATGTCCATCAACAAGAAGAGCTAAACAAATCGAAACATATTCATACTGTAGAATACTAAGCAATAAATGGGAACATATTACTTATATACACAATAACACAGATGAAATCTCAAAAAAATGCTGAACAAAGACAACTCAGATACAAAGAGTACATATTGTATGATCTATTTATTTGAAAGTCTAGAAAAATGAAATCTAATTTATAGTCACACAAAGCAGGTTAAGTAGTTAAACAGGGCTGGCTGTTAGAGGAGAGGGGAAATGACTGCATAAAAGCTTTAGAGACCTTTTTGGTGATGGGACATAAATTTCCTCTTAATAGTGACAGGGCGTTTGTTTACATTTGTCAGCTCACCAAACTGTAAATTAAAATGGTTGTATTTCATTATGTTCAAATTATATTAATTTAAGAAAGTTGACAGGAGTAGGAAGAGGATACCATAATTCATTTCATAGTCTTCCTTTCCAATTAAATGTATATTCTATATTGTGGCTTATCCTTGTACTAAATAAGTAGACCTTGTAAATATCCTGAAAAAATTTTTAAGTTGCCTTATAACTAATATTACTCATTTTAAATACAATTTCCATAATTGAAAAAATGAAATAAGCCAAGAATTTCCCCATTCATTTATACTAAATCTCATTTTTACTTTGAAATAAAATTTTTGTGGGAGGAGTAGGGGGGATAGGAAGGGCAACAGAATAGAATAGACATTATGATTGATGTATGTACATTCCATGTATGTATTATATGTCAAAATACATTCTGCTGTCATTTATGACTAAAAAAATAAAAATAAATTGTATGGCAAAAAAAAAAAGAAATAAGATTTTTCTTAAGAGTCTTGAGTGAGTCATTTAAAATAATCCTTGTCCCCTCATGGCCTCTTGAAGCACTTGAGAGAAAGTCAAAAAGGAGGAGAGTGAATATATCAGATTTACTGCTAAAGATAAATGATATAATAAGTTAAATGACATAATTTAGGTCTGTGCCAACAACGGCCACCTCATATTGCACCCAAAATTAAAGATAACCTGCTCTACAAACCATGCACAGTTCTGCAAGCATGAGTATCCCCTTGCAGAGAGGGAGACACATCCTTCACCACAAGGTTCCCAAGGCTGAGAGCAGGTATGACAAACCCAAAGAAGGGAGAAAGGTATGTGAATGTCACTTCTTTATCCCAAATTCCCTCCTCTCCCAGCGAGGTGAGAAGAGAACAGAATTCTTTGGTTAATGAACATCCTAAGAAGCACTGTGTAAAGAAGCCATCCCTTTCTGCCTTCCAACCAGTGGAGAGGAGTGTTTCTCAACTTTTCTTCCCTGTCGGCATATACAACAGATGAAATTCACATGTAATCAAATTAAGACAGGATTCATGTATGGTATTCTAACTACAGGACCACTGTTTCTCTCCCATTCAAAGTGGCCATAATTAATTGCAAGTGACTAAGAGACACAACTTTAGGAATTACCTCCGTTATTTCACTTTAGTTTACTTTGGTAAGGAGGTAACCAATTTACAGATTTCCATTATTTCATTATTGGTATAAGAAATCTGACTATCTCAATACTATTGATATGCCATCAATTATAAAATATATCTTCAGTTTAATAACTTCTTAGAAAAGAATACATTTAATATGCCTATTGATTTGAAGATAATTACTTCTGGGACTATGGTTCTTGTGTCAACTCACAACTCATTTACATACATATTACATCATGAAATCACAGCTCAGTATGACTGGACCAGTATCAATTTAGTAGGGTTCTGATTCAAGGAAATTTAAAATGATTAATAATTTTCTAACTTCTGGGAAAGGCAGTGAAGTAAGTTTTTGGATCATGTAAAGTACAGTTCTTCAAAACGATAAGGCTATACTATTCAGTTATAACTCTAGTTTTCTGAGATACTTTTTTATTTTGTGTCTTCATTAATATTTGCATATATAATCAATTTTTAAAATTTGCATACTTAAACCACTACCATCCTATTTTGTACAAAGGCCCCAGCTTCAGTAGGCCTGAGTTCTGTGAAGGGTGCTCTGCATGACTTTTCAATGTTTTATGTAGTATTTCTTAGCATATCTAAGATAAATACAATCTAGGAGCCTGTTTTCCAGAGAATAACAGAAATCCCACGTTATGAGGCATGGTCTGGATGTGAAGTTTTCTAACTACTGAGTGTCTACGGCACACAACTTTCAAACAAGAATAATAAAATTATATTCACTGTAATTTGAACCATAGACAGTGCTGTTTTATGAAATAGACATCAATAATTATAGCACTATCACAAACATTTTTCTCAGGGTTCATAAAAATTCATCATTATAACCAATAAGCCTGGTAAACTTTTATGCATCAGTATTCACATCCTTAAAATTAATGAATCCATTTTTCTCTCCTTGCATGGAAAAGTTTTAGCTAAAATAATCGTCTTTGGGGGCCTAAAAAAATTAGTAGCCTTCCTCCCTCCATAACTATTGTTTTTTTCTCCTCCACTTTATGTCTAAACTTGGTAAAGAAGAGAAAAATCTGGCCTGCCAAAGCCAACACAGAGGAGAACAGACTCTTAAATAGTCTAGTGACCTGATGTACTCCATGCTGGGTTGTACCTCTTTTGAAGCTGAGGCACAGACTTTGTGCTAAGAACAATCTCCAATTAATAATCACCTATCCTAAAAAATTGAAAGTAGTGACTTCTCACTTTCAGATAAGGAAAGATCATGGAGTTCTTTCTTAAAATCAGAGGAGACAGGTTAAGTATCTCCAAACTAATGCAAATTTTTCATAGAAATAGCTAGCATTTACTGAGCACTTCATGTATGAGGAAACATGCAAGATGCTTACTATACATTACTTTCACATAGGAAGTAAAGTAAAATCAATCAAATTTTTCAAAAGCTAACAACATAAAATGGGGAAATCTTCAAAATCCAGGAAAAAAACTATTTATTCACATATTTCACAATAAACAAATATCCATTGCACAAAACAACATACCAAATGTTGACAAATCATTTCTCTAGTACTCACCTCCCTTTGAGAATATTCCTTATTAAACAAAATAAAATAAGTAATATTTTTATCATTCTAAAACTCATCTCTTTAACCAGGGCTTTTTGATGATATAACCTAGGGGAAAACTATAATACTTTTTAAGGCAAGTGTTGATTTCTCTAACTCTGAAAAAGAAAATAGGCTTTCTTCTACTAGAACAAAAATTTTAAAAATGGAATTCTCACAAAAATGTAGACCATTATTCACATGCCCCAACAGTGTTAAGTAAGATTACACAAAAAGTAGTTAACTCTCATCTCTAAAAGATAAAATTAATTTTATGCCAATAATATCTTCCTGAGTGTCACAATAACAGTTCCCAACAGTCCTATAAGGTTGTACAGCAATATACAGTATAAAAATAATCATATTAACAATGATAGTACTGATTTACAAATGTGTTCTTTCAACAAACAACTTCTTTAATACATCCTCACATTCATGAGATTATACCATAAATCACATTCCCGTGTCTATGTATTTTTTGCTTAACTTGTTCATTCACTGGCATTTTAACAATATCCCTACTGTTTTATTTTTAGAAAGATTTGGTACATATTTAAATTTTAATTGTTTTTCATTTCACTGAATAGTTCCAAAAGATATTTGGAAAAGTAATTCTAAATCATCAGCTGGAAAGTCGCAACCAACAAATATTCTCGGGACTTTTTAAGCATCTAAAAACAAGGAAAAGAAATTTGGGTTTTGATTGTGATAATTTTGGAGCACAATTTGTTATGACACATCTGTAACCATAACAATGAAAATAATAAAACCATCATTTTGACATTTATCAGTATTTCACACACCTAAGAAGACAAATGCCACTGATAGAACTTTAAAGTCAAAACAGAAGTACAAATCTGAATTAAAAGCATCAAGAAAATGTTCAGAATGTACACATTTGCACACATTTTCAGATAAACTTTCAAAAATTTCACATATTACCAAATGGTAATTTTGAATCAAAATGAATGTCAAAAATATTCAAGCTTTGTGAAGACTTACTTTAGTGAAGCAGAAAAAATGGAAGAGTGAAAGGTAACAAGCAGCATATCTCTAGGAGGGAAAGAAATCACACACTGCCTTTATCATAAAGCAAAAGTCAATAAGTCAACATTTTAAAAACAATGGCCACCAAGTTAGTCACTATTCAAGAATACACTTCTCAAGTTGAGTCCTTAAGAATGTATTCATTCAGATTTAAAACAAACTAAGTTTATGAATCAAAACATATTTCACTCAGAATTCTAATTTTAAGAAGCATAAATTGTAACTTATCAAGGCATAGTCCAAACACTATAATTCTACCATTTAGTTTTTATATTCATCTGAAAAACTTATTGTACAAACAGTAGTTCTGCCTTCTTTCTCCAGAGTAAATGTCCCTAATGTCTAAACTTTAAGTTGCAATCAAAAAGATTCAAATAACTCCTTTCTGCATATTGCTTCATCGGGCTTTGATAAAAACAGAGCCATCTGGTGGGGTAGCACCATCCTCCTTCTCAGTTACAGTCTCAACAGTCCCAGAAGCTGACACAATAACCATTGTTTTATTTGCTGAAACTGTCTTCTGTTTTTCAGCAATAGCTGCACAAACAGCAACAATCTCATCGCTTTCAAAGTCATAGTCAGGAATTGACTTTGGTGAAAAATGTGTTCCTTCAGATGGTGCTTCACTTTTCTTAATCCTCTGTGCTACCTTCTGCTGCTCCTGAAGTGTTCTTGCCCAAGAAAGGTCTTCTTTCCATAGTTCAGGGTTCATTGGATAGATATGAAGGGCTACCTGAAAACTTCGAATTGCCTGGAAAAAAACAGGTGAAAGTTTTTCATTTATTTTGTTTCTAAAATTCAGTATGTTTACTATATCTCTGAGAGTGTAGGTATACTGATTGACACCTACACATACATAATGTATTATTTTAATGTATCAGAACATTAAGGAGAGAAACTGGGGCTTTGTTCTAACCACTGGATGATTACAGTAGAAAAAAAATATAACTATGAAAGAAAGTAACTGATACAATGCTGATGGACTAAACACCAGTAAAACAGAGGTACAAAAGTTCAAGACAAAGCAAATATATTGTTTGACCTTTATAGACCACCAAATATACAAAGGAGAATTTCCTGGGCTAACCCATAATCAGAAAGACATCAGAAATATAGACTATTAGAGCCAAGAGCTTAGATCTTGGTAATGCTAACATTTACTGAGTGGTTGCTATGTTCTAGGCACTATTCTGGTTTATTTCACTTAGCATATTGTTTTCAAAGTCCATACATGATGTACAATGTGTCAGTCAATATTTCATTTATTATTACCGCTGCATAATGGTTCAGTAAATAGATATATCACATTTTGCTGATTAAAAAAAATTTAAGAAATAAGCAACAGATGTTAAGAAATAGAAAATATTAAAAAGTACCAAACAGAAATCATTGATTCTAAAATAACTAGAAATAACATTAAAAAAATAACCAGAGGGGTTCAACATCAGACTAGAACAAGCATAAGAAAGGACCAGTGAACTCAAAGATCGGTCACTGTAATTATGAAGTCAGAGAAATGAAAGAGGGTGGGAGAAGGGGGGGAAGAGAGGGAAAAACATGTGAGGAAAGCTTAAAGGATCTATGAGACACCATCAAGTGGACTAATATGTACATTCTAGGAGTCCAAGAAGGAGTAGTCAGAACAGAGGAAAGACTATAAAACTTAGTCAAAGAACAGTGACTGAAAATTTTTCAAATCTGGAAAAGGAGATTAAACATTCAGATCTGAGGAACCCCAAGGGATCCTTGAATATTATTAAACAAAGAAATCCACAAAAGACATAATCACACTGTCAATGATCAAAAACAAAAGAGAAACCTTTGAAAGCAGCAAGAGGAAAACAACTGGATACACACACACACACACACACACACACACACACGCGAGCGCGCGCGCGCGCACGCGTAACTCCAATAAGACTATCAGAATATTTCTTAACAGAAAACTTTCAGGCCAGAAAGTGGTAAAGTGTTGAACAAAAAAACAAAAAGCAAGGGGAAAAAAGCCAACCAAGAATACTATATCTGGAAAACCTGCCCTTTGAAAACAGAGAGATAAAATCTTTCTGAAGCAAACAAAAGCAAAGGGAGTTCATCACCACTAGTCTACCTTATGTGAAATGCTACAGGAAGTTCAAGTTAAAATGAAACAATAGCTTAAGAAAGTATAAAATTTGCTGGTAAATGTGAATATATAAATATATACAGAATATTATAATACTGTGATAATGGGAGGCAAGCCACTGAATTCTATTATAAAAGTGAAAAGATAAAAGTATTAAAATTTATAATATAAATAGATTGATCTGTACAACAACACAAACCATGGAAGGAAATGATGCTGTTAATTTCTTATGTGACTAAACTTAAAAAACTGTAAGATAAAGTAATAAGATATTTTATATGTGCCTCATGACAATTACGAAGAAAATACTTGCATAAATTACTAAAAAGAAAAAGGAATCAGCCAGGTGGTGGCACATGCCTGTAATCCCAGCAGCTTGAGAGGCTGAGATAGGAGTATGGCGAGTTCAAAGACAGCCTCAGCAAAAAGCAAGGTACTAAGCAACCCAGTGAGACCCTGTCTCTAAATAAAATATAAATCAGGGCTGGGGATGTGGCTTAGTGTAGAGTGCCCCTGAGTTCAATCCCCAGTACCCAACCCCCCAAAAAAGAAAAAGGAATCAAAGCATAGCAACACAAAAAACATCAAAATACAAAAAAGTAACAAGGGAGGAAAGACAGAAAACAGAACTATACAACAAATAGAAAATAATTTTAAAAAGAATCAACAATTCTTTAAAGAAGAATTATGCCAATTATTCTCAAGTTATAACAAAAATTGAGCAAGAATAAACACTTGTAAACTCCTTTTATGGTAACTGTAAATCCTTCCCTATCAATTAGTTATTAGAGCAGCAAAAGTAGTATGAACAGGGATGGTTATAAAAATAAATATACTGAGTAAAACAGAAAAAAGCTTAAAACTTTTAGCTAGATTTGCTATGAAAAAAGACTCAAAAATGAAAAATTAAAGAGGAAATACTGAAACTGATGCCACAGAAATACAAAGGATCATAAGAAACTACTATGAATAATTACATGCCAACAACTGCATAACTTAGAAAAAATGAGTAAAATTCCTAAAAACATACAACTTACCAAGACTGAACTGTGAAGAAGTACCAAGTCTTAACATACCTATAACTAGTACAGAGACTGAACTGATAATTCTTTAAAGAAGAATTAATGCCAATTCTTCTCAAAGTTATGACAAAAACTGAGCAAGAATGAGTGCTGGCAAACTTGTTTTATGAGGCCTGCCTTACCATAATAGCAAAGGCAAACAGAGACAACCTAAGAAAACCACAGGTCAATATACCTCATAAAAATAAGATGCAAAAATCCTCAACAAAACAGTAGCAAATCAAATTCCAGAGTAGCACTCTCATTTCTCTGCAGCACTACTTCTAATAGCCAATATGGAAGCAACTAACTGCCTGTCAACAGATGAATGGATAAGAAAATTTGGTGTATATATAGGTTATTGCTCAGCCTTACAAAAGGCTGCAGTAAACTCTGCAATATAAAACCACATGGATGGAACCTTGACGACATCATGCTAAGCAAAACAAGTTAGTTATAAAAGGACAAATATTGTATAATTCCATTTGAATGAGATCTAAAACAGTCAAATTAACAGAATCAACAAACAGAATGGTTATTGGTGACAGCTAAAGAGATAAATTGTAAACACCTTCTGTAGAAGATCACACCAATAATTAACAATTCTGTATTATAGACTTAAAATTTTGATGAGGATAGATCTTATGATATCACTTAAGCACACCAAAAATTAATAAAAAAACTCTTAAATTTTATTTTTTGAAGCAAAATTTCTTCTTGATTTCTCAATTCTTACCTTAAGTGTCCCAATATAACACTTATAAAAGGCTGTAATTCAAATTTGACTCTGCTATTTAATATCAGAAAATATAATGCAGCCAAACTCAAAATCAACAGTAATTAATTTAACTAAAAATGCACAAGTAAAAAATTTTTCCCCCAGTGGTTATTCACTTTATTCAACTATTTTGACCAAATCAGTAGAGACAATTCCTTCATTTTTTTCATTAAAAATCTTCTCTCTCTCTCCCTCCCTCTCTCTCTCTCTCTCTCTCTCTCTCTCTCGCTCGCTCGATCGCTCTCTCGCACGCGCGCGCACAAGTAAAATTTTTAAACACTTCAATATCTTCCTTTTGGAAATTATCACATACAACCCCATTATAATGATAATTACAAGAGGGGAACTAGAAACTTTCACTAGAAGTTTGCTTACACAAAATATTAAAATCATTAGTAAAATAAAACTTAGAAAATAGAGAAAACATTAGTAAATAAAATGAATACACGTCATATATTGGCATGAAGAAAATCAAAAGCTAAAAATGAGTTATGCAGAGACTGAAAATGGAGACCTCAAAACTAGTTCCGGCACTGAAGGCTAAGGACCATGAGAAGCTAATCCAATCATCCTTCTCAGCACTGGTACCTCCTGGTATTTCTTCCTTTTCCTAATCTACTTTCCTTTCCAACTTCTTCTCTAGGATAAATAATCTTATATATTCCTTTCTCCAGAATTCCATTCCTTCACACATGATTCTCTTCAGCTTTCTCATTAATTCATCCTTCCTTTTCTTAAACTAGGACTATAATGAAGTCCAATCCTACCTTCTCTCTCTCTCTTTCTCTCCCCACCCCCATATCATTGCCTCTCACTCTCTATATTTCCTAAGTATTTTCCAGTCTAGACACCCAACTCTCATAAAACCTAAATAATTATTCATGGAGATATGTCCAACTCTTGACATTTAATCTTAAGTAACTTTTAATTTTTATTCATGTGTTTTCTTATGTTTTTGTCCTTAAAGGTAATACAGCAGTAAGGACTGTCAGATGTTAGGAATTTCATATTGCTTTCAAAAATATTTTTCATAAAGTCCCTTCCTTATGACAGTCTGAATAAAATCATTTATCATTTAACCATTCCAGACTTTTAAAAGAACAGCTTAAATCTATATAAAAATTATAAATTGAGATTTTTCCAAGTTAGAGCCCTAAACAATTACATTTAAATGGGGAAGGGAGATAACACTTTCAATTTCTCCAAAACCTCACGACAGGATCTATTTATAAGGGGGGGGGGGAAGCAAAACAGGTGAATATATGGTACTCTTATTCAAAAAACTTCAAATATTAAATAACTTCATTTTTATCAGCTTTTTTTCTTACTGAACTACATTTTCCCTATAAAAAACAATTATTGCTAAGCACTATGTTCTAGAGATTTTTTTTCCATTACCAAAAACAATAAGTGAAATAGACAATGATTTTTAAGTTTTTAATAAAAAGGATATGAAAAAAATAGCATTTTATAATAGGTCCCCTGACCTCCACTGCTCTATTAGGAAAAAAAAAAAAAACCTTTTGTGCCAACTCTGGAATGATTTAAGTCTTCAGGTAAAAAAAAAAAGAGAGAGAGAAATGATAATGTTAAATGACAGGAAAAGAAAATGATACTTTGTTAAACTGTTTTTCATCAACATTGGGTGTCCTTTGAGATTATCACTTTTGAGTTACTTTTGTCTAATTATTTTCTCATTAAAATTCCTTATTATTTCTGAGAATTTGACAAACACTTTTCTGTGAATAAAAAAAATAATAATATCCTTATAAGAGTACCAGAAAAATCTAAGTCGTCCACAGTTTATTAAAATAATTGTTAGTAACATTAAATTCAGGATTTATCAATGAGCCCATACTTTAAAGCTTTTAAGATTTGTTTTATTTTTAACTGTAAAAGACTAATGAACCATAAAAAGTCATTAATTCAGTTAATGATAAACGAGTTATTTGTCATTATTATATTTGCAAACACTTCTACAGATATTACACTGTTGAAAAATAAAAAGAAGATAGTTTTCACAGCCAATTCTTACCTAGTTATTTTTATTAGCCTTTGCTACCAACAAGGTACAGTTCAGACATGTTAAGAGATGCACTTAGGGAGACCAGTAGAATAGAAGAAGTGGATGGGGCGGCGGGGAAGGAGGGGAGGAAAAGAAGAAGTACTGAGGAATGAAACTGATCAAATTATACTGTTTTAAGAACTTACCTCAACATTGTAAAAGCTATCTACGCTAAGCCTCAGGCCAGCTTCATTCTAAACGGAGAAAAATTGAAGGCATTCCCTCTAAAATCTGGAACAAGACAGGGATGCCCTCTCTCACCACTTCTATTCAACATAGTTCTGGAAGCACTAGCCAGAGCAATTAGACAGATGAAAGAAATTAAAGGTATAACTATAGGAAAAGAAGAATTTAAACTAGCACTTTTTGCTGATATGATCCTATACCTAGCAGACCCAAAAGGTTTTACCAAGAAACTTCTAGAACTAGTAAATGAATTCAGCAAAGTGGCAGGATATAAAATCAACACGCATAAATCAAAGGCATTCCTGTATATCAGTGACAAATCCACTGAAATGAAAATGAGGAAAACTACCCCATTCACAATATCCTCAAAAAAAAAAAAAATACTTGGGAATCAACAAAAGAGGTGAAAGATCTATACAATGAAAACTACAGAACCATAGAGAGAAATAGAAGACCTTAGAAAATGGAAAGATATACCTTGCTCATGAATAGGCAGAATTAATATTATTAAAATGGCCATATTACCAAAAGCACTCTACAGATTCAATGTGATTCCAATCAAAATCCCAAAGGCATTCCTCACAGAAATAGAAAAAGCAATTATGAAATTCATCAGGAAAAATAAGAGACC